TACGTGATTTTGCTCATGGAATATTCCTCCCTACCACACTTGAACCATTCCAGTACTGTCTTCCAGGCCCCCACACTGAGTGAAGCACACAGGCATGTTCTGAGAATGTCATTTATAAACTATGGGCAATACAAGATACTATGCTCAACATTGCTTTTGGCTCATTTTGTCCCTTACTCCTTATCAAACAAATACTTTATTTTAATAAAAAGAATGAGATGACCTTAGTCTGAAGAGCTGATTTGATTGTCAAGATGTTACAGTACTATTCCTAGAATGCTATCATTTGAGTCAACTCAATATACTTCATAATCGTGTTTAAGAGTTTCACAGCTTGGCTGAAGCCTATTTACACTTCTGTTATACCTTTTTGACTCTGGACAAGAAACATTGTGGGGATATATGCACTATTTAGCTTTGTATGCCAGTGGAAAGTTTTCTTTTGTCTGGGCAATTCTTTACTTGGTCCCTCTAACTAAATCACATCCACCATAGTACAGCAACTACCTATGCAAACATACTTTCTGAGGTCCTCTGGGTATCCTCTGGGACCAGGAGAAGCCAACAGCATTTGATGCTGGATGTCATCTTAGAAATATCTGAGTAGTTCTTCGAATGATGATGGTGCAGATTCTGAGCACACCAGATGGCTACAGTTGTTAGCAATGTAATTTAGGTTTCAGTGAGTTTCTCTGTAAATGACTACTTTACTTGTCAGACTCTTTTGCCTGTGCTAGCCCTTGCTTTGTTCCACAAGGCTAGTCTCCAGTTTTCCTTCTGGATGCACAAGGCTCTGATGACAAGTTGCTATAGACATCAAAAACTTAAAAAGAAAATCTTCATCAAGGAAAGGTGAAGACGTGGTTTATCTGAGGCTGACACGGATAAAGCCAAAAGACCTGTTAAACCAGTAAGGAAGGTTGGGATCTGAATGGTCTTGTGAGCTATAGTCATTAATAAATTGTGTTGTGACAAAGGGCCAACATTTAGGTTACTTGTGAACATTTAGGTTGCTTTTCAGAAAGATTTATGTTTTTAAGTACTCTGCTTTATACAGAATTGGGGCAGGAATGGCAATCTGGCCTCATGACTATGTTAATTTTACACTAACCAAGGCTCCCAAAGTTGTTTGGCCACACATTCTAAATAAATATTCAGGATCCAGGCATTGCATCACTGAGCGTGGCTCAGCGCAGCCCACTTAGCATGTGCCAGACCACGTGCCTCTTAATTCCTTCAACCCCGGTGTACTGGAAAAGCTGCTTCCAGAGGCAGGCAGCAGCGGGAGGGTGGAAGGAGTGCTGGGCTTCCCTCCACCTTCCCTAGAGGCAGCTCTGCTCTCTCCCAGCCCAGTGCTAGAGAAGAGCAGAGTCTCTGGGAAAAGAGGAAAAAAATACACTGGAGTGAAGGACTGGGCCAGGAGAAAAGAACTCCCAGGACCACACTGAAACCCACACTCACTGTGGAGACACAACTCAGGTCCTGGATACCAGTATTCACTATGTGCAGGTTGTCCTCAATCCTTTGTTGCTATTCCAGTAGAGCACTCTCTGTCCTCACCAGCACTGCCCTTTGTGGGCAATGCAGGAAGCCTCCTATTTCCCAGAGACAGCAAAATAACACCTTGATTGAATTTCCTCCATGGAGAGAGGTGGGGGAAGAAAGCCTTCTTCTATCTCTGCCCCTACACTAGGAAGCCTTTATTGCAGCATAATCCACAATATTCAGAAATGGTTTTAGCTCCCTGCTTCCAGAGCTGGAGAAAAGGGCAATCAAGAATAACTGAAAACCTGTTCTATCACTGCCCTAAAACGCCCTTTGACTGACAACTCTTAAAACACAGTGTTAGAACAGGGACATGCCCAGGCAGTGAATGGCTTAGATGCAGCACAATGAGGTTGCAAAACTTAAACATCCTCCTATTCATTCATTCCAAATTTCCTCTCCATATCCTTTTACTCACAAAGCAAATGGGAATGGTCATTATAGCTTTTTTTTTTTTCTTTTTAAAGTGAAGGTCTAGTACTGTGTGACCCTCGGCATTAGTAGTATTAGCACCAAGGCTAAAACGCCCTAACTGGGTAGCAGGAGAACATGCCTGCAAGACAATAAATATATCTTTGCAAGCAGTTCCCATCAGCAATCTTGGAAATCTTACAATGTGTTACTTAAACATTTGGCTTAGCTACAACAAAGAGATAGCATTAGGATATAAAAAGACAGTCTCCATTTGCAGGAACTTTATTGCATGATTTAGTGGTCTTTGGGGCAACATGAGGGAAGGTGCGCATGAAATGAAAAATCAGGTAAGCAGCAGTGGTCCTGGCAAATGGGGTACTCATGTACTCTAAATGACTGAATTCAATTGTAAGACACAGACAAGCTACCTTTCAAAAACCAGCCAACATAATACCAAGGATTAGTCATACTATATCTAGTAGTGTTGCCTGTTACAAAAGTGGCTGTACGTTTCCTCTTATGAGACCCAATTTTTGAGTTAATTATTGCTTGTAAAATTTTGGCTGTCTGGAATGAAACTTTCCATACATGATCACTAACTTCAACTGATCCTTTTGGAAAATTTTAGCAAAAAAAGTCCAACCACTTCCAAGAATGAAAATAGTGAATAGGATTCTGCTTGGCCTTGTTATTTATCAGATATTTTTCTTTCCACATTCTTACCCTTTGCCTTAGGGGAGGGATTTGAAATTCAGCAGAAAGTGGAAGCTAGTGCCAGGCATGTGACTTTCTCATCCCCATAAAATCTAGTCAAATTCAGCTAAGTTTCAAAGTCCTCATCTGCTCTATAGATACTATGAGGAGTTTGATGACTGGGATGTCCAAGTGCACTTTGTTCAGCTCTTTCACTGACACAATCCAGTGGCCACCTGGCCGTGGATCAAAGGAAAGGCCAGATTTTCCTGGTCCTGGAGAACCAATCTGTAACAGTCCCTCTTAACGCATGCTGAACCTACCTGAGATAAGGGGAGAATTTGTACACACCTACACCTCAGCTGGCTCCCTGGCAAACTGATGGAGGGAGCAGTCTTTGAATGAACATGGGATACAAACTCAAATGACAAGAAAGAAAAAGACCAAAGACAAGACCTTTTAGAAATAGACAAAATGTTCTTCTAAAAGCTAATTTCAGATCAATAAATATTAAGAAGTCAATAAGCCAAAATGAGCACTGTTTAATAGTTACAACTATATAAAACTATATAATAATAGTTATCAATTAATATGTTAATAGTTAATAGTTATCAATCCTCTGGCTAACAGGTTCATTGAGTGTTCCTGTTCCCCAGCACAGGAGGCAAGTGAGCACTATCCAACTGTGGAATGAAGCCATCAATCACTGAACCACCAGGACACCTTTGAGGACTCTCTCCTAACCTGTTCAAGGCCTGAAGAATTTGGGAATAGCTGTCAGTGTATGCTTTGATGATCTATTCTATTTATCATCTCAGGCCACAGAGGAAGAAATAAAACACAACATTTCGTTATCTGACTTGCTGTGGGTTTGGGTTGATTTCTTTAAGTTCTTATCTGAGAAATTCAATCTTCCAAAGATGATTGACTCCACATCACAATTGTGGTCAGGCATGTTCTGCAGAAATGACTGCCAGTTCACAGTGAGATTAGAGTTCATACAGAAGTTACCACTTCCCTGCTGGAGGTTGACACTGCTCCACCAGAATCAGGAGCACTGATTGTCTGAGCTGACTTTAACTGGTCCTGTGCCATCCGTTAAGTTGATTCTATTTTCAGTCGAAGGCCATTTAAACTAATCTGGAATACTTTGATGAGGACGTCTCATGTTTCCTCTGGCCAGGGGAGCAATCACAGCTGAAATCATCATGCAGTCTTTATTCATATTAGGATTTCCTATGGTACACTTGCCCATGGGAGAGGGCAAGTCTATTCCCTGTATTACCTGTCCTGTGAATCTGAACTGTGAAAATGCATGAAGGAAAATGAAGCCAATTCAAATATGCATAAAATTGACATAAATTTCCATAGTTTTGACAAGGCCAGACATATGGAGAACAACAGAATGTCCTCAGATTGATGGAGAAATTTCTGATTTTCATCCCAAAATAATTTTGGCTTCAGCATTCTTATAAACAGGTGCCATTCTGCAATACTACATGAGATGTGCAGAACTTATGACTGATGAGAAGCTGAGAAGTAGTCCAACAGGACATTACACTTCTGCTGGTTTCCTAAATCGCAGAGAACAGCTGATGCAACTGCCACCCATCTGTAGCAGTCATAGAGAGAGGCATGTTGGCCATGTCAGTATTAAGTCACTTCTTTTAGCTTCCTCTTCCCTCTTTCATATGAAAGGAGCTCTGAAACGGCATCTTTTGAGATTTGCGGTTCTTGTGGAAAAATCATGGTACAAGCACTTTTCTACAGACACCTTTATAAAGCTGCCTCTATGGATTTCAGCCATGGCAAAGGTTTAATGTAATATTTCAGGCAGGTAGAATACACAGAGAAGAACAGAAACCCACTTACCTCACTTCATTTCAGGTCACAGCATTTAACAGTGTCAGCAATGCAGTGGTCAGGTCTGGCTGGAAATCACCTACCAAAGTTGCTCTACAGAGAGGAGGTAAAAGTCTGAGATCCTCTTCCCTTGGCATATTCCATCTTCCTTAGCGAATGTGTGTCCCTCCCTAAGGAGACTCCAGCAATAAATGCTAAGTACTATTAACTGTTCTTCCCCCACAGTAATTCATAAGAGAATTGCTGACATTTTTTTATTTGGGACATTCTTATAACACCTTGATAAGAGAAAATAATCTCCTATAGGGGCTGGCAATTACCTATTGCACAGATGGCAAGAATAAAAGAGAGAAAGGATAAAATGCTGGCTACAGAACAACGCTGACTCCTTCTGGTGTTCAAATCCTCCTCTTAGCCTTCATTTCCTTTTATTTTAGTTGCTGCAACATGTTCTATGTTTTGCTGAAACATGATCATGTTCTATGTCCTTCAAATCCTGAAGGTGTATATTACATGTCCAAACTATGATGCACGGTTATTTTCCCCAAGAACAGTTGCCCAAAAAAGAGAAATACAACGAATTGCATTTGTTTTTAAATCAGTGCACAGCACTACCTTCAGGCCTTCCATGTGTCCACCCTCAAACTTCTCCTGTTTATTTAAAGATGAAATAGGTAATATTCGTGTTTTAAAACAATTCCTGATTTTATTCCAGCATGGGTCTTGTACTCATTGCCAATACTGTGGAAATAAAACGTGCAGACTTCCATATCGACAAGAATATGATGTTTTAACAGAAAAAAAAACCTCTGGAGGCATTTTGTTCTCTCCCATTCTAGCTGACTTTCATTCTCGGTATGAGAATACAGACAATTTTGACTGCTCTAAGCACACTGAACCTCCTCTTCTTGACCCCAGGCTGTTAAGCTGCTTCCCAAATGACACCTTGAGATGTCCCCCTTGCAGCTGTATTGATGTGGATTCTCTACCTTGCCCTGGTCAGTGAAGAGGACTGCCTCCAGGGCAAGGCAGAAAATGAACCCCATGTGACCCCCCATTGGATATTTGAGCACTAGGATGTTAAAGCACCAGGGGTTCTCTATCCTTGAACCCTGCAAATAATGAGGAAGTTTAAATCCTAAAGCTCTCATAGCCTCATACCAACCATACCATGAATTATTTCACTTTCATAAGCAGTATTAGTGCTTTGATTTCTCCCACTGCCAAAGTCAGCCTAGATTTAGAGACTTGGCAACTTCTTTCATGACACCTATGAGCAGATTTTTGCCATGTACTAAACTTTTTGAAATATCTATTTACATCAAAGAGGAGATCTGGCCATTTAATGGGTGTATCATAGTGAGCTTAGAGAAAGCTTAATGAAATCCATGCTGGGATATTTCATTATCTTGCAGGCAATAAAGCCATCAAAACAAACCCATTCATTATCTTTCCTATTAAGGAAGAAAACAAGTGATCTATATCATTTAGATTAGCTCACTGTCCTCCCTGGTCAAAAATAATAGTGGCATAAAGAACACTGAAGAAAGCAACATATATTTTTCACTTGTTTGTTTCCAAAAAACAGTACTGTAGAAGTAAGAATAAGCTTGAGGGCTCAGCTGCATAAAAATGGTCTATTTTACAGCTCATTGCATTGTTAAGTAACATTACAGTGTAATTTGGGCTTTGGGATATTGTTTTACATAGGGTATGCAGAGCACTTGGAGATTTTTTTTTAATGCCCCCTTCTCCCAAATGTATTACACATATCCAAATTCAATATTTGCATTTTTAAATCTGCACTAAATGGAAATGTCTATGAACGCACATGACAGCAGGCCGCTTCTGGACTCTGCTTCTGAAAATTCAATTTCTTCTGAAGTGATACTTCGAACATTTTGGAATTTTGTGTCTACCTCTGTGATCTGTCTTGCTAAAAAGATTATGGGCTCTTGAAGGTAAGAGCTCTGTCACATCTGCAAGCAATAAAGCTGCAATCTTGAAGACAGACAGGGTGTTGTAACATACGATGACAAAAATAATTTTTGTCCCTTTTTCATAAGAAAAAGAGACTTTTGTCACTCTACCATTTTACCCCATCTCTTCTTCTGTCTCTCAGTGAACTTCTGTCTGATAACTTCGGGAAAATTTTCAATCAAATGCCAAAAAGAAATGTCCGAAATTTTCAGTTCCTCCAAAGTTTGCAGGAAGTCAATAGACGCAGGTAGGTGAAAGGCTCTCTACCCCTTCCAGAAGGCCCCAGCGAGCCGGCTGCACGCGTGGACTCGCAGAGCCGCCCCTGGGACCATCTGAGCCAACCTCAGTGCGGGAAGCGAGTCCTGGCCAGAGCTGGTGGCACTGGGTTTTCCTCTCCTTATGCCTCCCTGTGCCTACATGGGCAGAGGGACCTGCACTGGGTTGGCAAGACCATATACATATCAGTTTAGATAATCACGTGCTGTGTTATTAAGCCTTATTATCTTAAAATAAGCTGTTTTGGGGGTCATCCTCTAAACAGGCCTAACTCTGTCCAAGGGAGTTAATTATTTAGCAACTATCATTTCCACCTGATCTGGACAGCTCTTCATTTTCCAAACTTAAAAAGGGGGGAATCAGGGCAGCTTTAGAACAGCAGTATCCAAATGAATTGCATTTCTAAGACACGGAATGTCTTAGATGCCATATTCAATAATGATTACCTGAGAAATAGGCCAAGGCAACCATGTTTTAGTCTGAAGCACATTTGTACTATATTCAGATTCAAATAAGGGTTAAGATTTTAAATCTAGAAATTGTTTTTTCACCATTTCAATGTCATTTTTATTACAGTTAAGCCAGAATGAGAACCTAGTCTCCTTTGCTGTGGAAAGCAATATGGAGTCAAAATACAAGGTTTAGAGGGAGAAACTGAAATCAAAGGGGAATTCAGAAGAATGTGGAGTTATAATACTGCCCATCTCCAGATCACTAAAGAAAACAAGATGAAAAGAGAAGTAGCACATTGCCTTCACACGGGACTCTCGTACAAATAGATAACTTCTCGCCAAAAAGGGAAAAGAAAGCTGGTACTCCAGATACAATATGAAAACAAGGGTGTTCCAGGTCTGAAGACTCCCATGCTAAGGGATTTCCCTCGCAGTACTATAACTATAGCTTTTTTGAAATCTCACTTGTAAAGAGATTTTTGTTTAGTACAAGAAATGCAAGCTATGAATAGTGAAAGGTAAACATTTCTGGAATATGTTCTGGATTTTTTTAATAAACAATATGAAATATCTATTGGTTCAGGTCAATAAAATGATAAAACTATTGTAGGTATTTTGGTTCTGTATTATTGAGTAGATAAGAAGAATATTAGATCATGCTCCAGCGTTAGACTTTCACTTTCCGATTCACTATAGTACACAAATCTTTAACTGTAGGTCATCAGTGGCATATCATCTGTGGTAATTTAACTTTAAGGTAATTAAGTTGTTAATGCCACTGTAACATAAATTTTCCCTACCATTTTCATCTTAGCTGAAAGCAGAGGGCCAAATGTTGCCTTTGGGCACATTAATGTAAGTTACAAAGATAGATGAGTGAACACCATTTGGTATTTGAAGACATAATTCTTATTCAAATCCAAAAGAGCTATATATGATCTGACCGAAATTGTTATGTAAAATACAGCTCAGCTCAGGTCATAATATATGAACATCTTTTTGAGCAAAGTTTTCCTCTCACATGGTATTTTATAGTACTTTTCATCTATCTGGGATAAAAGTACTATATCCAGCTGGTTAAACTGAGGCATATACTAATAAATTCATTTTCCCACAGTGACACAGTGAGGCACAGAATCAGGTCTCCCAAACCTCACTTCTGCACTGCAGGAAGAAGGTATCTTCTCCTGAGCCTTAAACCAGATAAAATCTTGCATGTATCCTGCAGACTGCAATATACATCAGAGATACTAAAGCTACCTTTAAGAAACCTATCTCAGAAACCATATAACCATGGCAATAAGAAGCAGGACCTAGAGCTATATTGGGAATGACTCATTGGTTTCACAGTTGGCATGGACAGAAAGGTGTAATTTCCTCCACTGGAGGATGGGCTAGGGCAAAGCAGGGCAACTAAGAAGGGATGGAACCCACCTGAGAAAGGTGTGAAGAAAACACACTAGATCCAGCCTTGCTGACACAGCAGAGAGGACTACAAACTCTTTTTGGAGAAAACTATAGGCAAAAGTCCCTAGATACATGCAATTAAGAAACAATAAATAGATAAATCACAGAATCACAGAATGGTTGGAAAGGACCTCTAGAGATCACCTAGTCCAATCCCCCTGCTCCAGCAGGGGACACCTAGAGCACGTGGCACAGGGTGGCATCCAGGCAGGTTTTGAAGATCTCCAGAGAAGGAGACTCCACAGCCTCTCTGGGCAGCCTGTTCCAGGGCTCTGTCACCCTCACAGGAAAGAAGTTCTTCCTCACATGGTGATGGAACTTCCTGTGTTTCAACTGGTACCCATTACCCCTTGTCCTATCCCTGGCTACCACGGAGAAGAGTTTGGCCCCATCCTCCCTATATTCACCCCTAAGGTACTTGTACATGTTGATCAGACCTCTCAATCTTCTCTTCTGCTAGCTCAACAGGCCCGGTTCGCTTAATCTTTCCTCATATGATAGATGCTCCAGTCCCTTAATCATCTTTGTCGCTCTACACTGGACCCTCTCTAGAAGCTCCATGTCCCTCTTGTACTGGGGAGCCCAGAACTGCACCCAGTACTCCAGGTGCGGCCTCACCAGAGCTGAGC